TTAACCTTTTGGCTAACAGCTTTCTTCGGTTTTGTCCCTCCCTTTCGGAGGTCTTAGTTGTAGCTGGTGGCTCCGTTTTACTTGCTTCCTTCAGCACCGCTCCTCTTAATATGCTGGAGCACTCTCCCGCCAGAGAAACGCAGTGACTACATATCCATTTCAGCGCTGGATATTTCCTGTGAAGCAAATAATCCTTCTTAGATAATTTGCGACATTTTTGGTGGTACCATGCTTTGCAGCTATCACAATGGGTGCCATTCTCAACCTGTTCCTGACACTGACTCATGCCACAGTGGTCACCTTTATGTACCACTATATCAATATGTTAGAATGAACCGAAAAAGGAACAGAAAGACACGCAACCGTAGAGGAAAACCAAAAAGGACAACCTATAAAACTTTTAAACAACAAAAACGTTTCTCAATGACTAGGCAAAACCAGTCACAGTTTAGTACTATGAAATATCTTGCGATATTTCACGGGTTAAGCAAAACACGGTAAAAATAGGTAATTATAATGTGAAATATCTACAGATATCTCAATTAAGCTTGATCAAACGATTTAAAACCGAGAGCACTTTATAATTTCAAACCGCGCGCCAGTGTACGTACCTACTCGGCTCCAATTATTTCCTTCCAACCCGCAAATTCTTTTTATCATACTGTCCAACCATTCGATGGCTGGAAAAACCTCTCTCTTGTCCTGCGACGAGGACACCTTCACAATGAGGTTAGATGAGCCTGCGATGGTCATGGATAAAACTCTTTCACAAGCCGAAATGGTAGGCATCATTCAGGAACAGGCCTCAGAACTAGGGACGCTGAAGGCTGAAGTTAACGCTCTCGGTGACCAGGTCGCCAAACTCAACGCCCTCATGTTGAAATCCCCAGTTCACTTGGCGGCAGACCAAGCGATTAAAGCATCCGAGCAGCAAATACCAGATACAGCAAGAGTGTTACAGGCAGACGCGGCTGCTTAGAAAAGGGTTGTCTTATATATTATATATTATATTATGTTTCGCACTTGTCTGAGGACAGAATGTGTGCCAAACAAACCATTGTTATGTTACACTTTGTTTGTTGTTTTACGTCACTTTGTACCCGTCTTTCTAAATTTTCCCCTCATTCCTTTACAGCCTCTGTCGTCCATTGTATGTTGAATAAAGCCTGGATATCGGGCCTTCGTCTTCTCTCTGTTCAACGGCTGTTGCGATTGCCTCTCACATCAGTTTATTCAACATACAAATTATCTCAAAATGGAACGCTACCTCCGACCCGAAAGATTCAATGCGGACCCGAATACTCCTAATTCCTCGAAAATATGGCGACACTGGTTTTGCACCTTCGACAGATTTCTCGCTAAAATTGGGATTGAAGACCCCGAAAAATTGAATTTTCTCTACAACTACATTTCTCTAAGTATCTATGACTATGTTGCAGATTGTAAATCGTACAGCGATGCTGTGAAAACCCTGGAAAAGCTGTTTATCAAACCGCCAAATGAGGTGTTCGCCCGGTACCTACTGGCCACTTGCAAACAGGAACCAGGGCAAAATTTCGATCAATTGTTTCAGAAGCTCAAATCCTTAGCCAAAGATTGCAACTTTAAGGCCGTAACGGCTGAACAAAATCAGGATAATGCCATACGAGACGTCTTCATAAGCGGGATGCTGTCAGGCGTTGTGACGGCGTCTTCTTGACAACAGATGTCTAGATCTACCGACCACCCTAGAACTAGCTCGATCACTTGAAATGGCATAACAATAGTCTAATGCTTTTCAAACATCACCAATGTCGTATACAGCAGCAATTTCGGGTTCATCTGAACCAATAGAAAGTCCCACGTGCAATCTCAGGGAAAGCAACAGCCCATATGAGCAAATCAAATGTTATTTTTGCGGAAACGACGGACACCCTCGTTTCAAGTGTCCAGCGATGGACGCAGTTTGCAGTAATTGTGGGAAGAAGGGACATTTCAAACGGGTCTGCAGATCGCTTCCGGAAAAACGGTCAACCTCGGCTACTATGCTTGCTCTCTCAACCGCAGTCTCGGCGTCCGCTCCGGCTTATCTCTCTAACGCACTGGTAAAAATCACCGTGAATAAAATCCCCGTTGAAGCTTTAATAGATACCGAAAGCTGCGAAAGCTATATTTCAGAATCTTTCGTAAAACGACACCATCTGAAGGCTAT